ATGGCTTATCAGCACGATTTGTTATTCCAGCTGGGTATTTTTTTCATTCCACATTACAAGCTGCAGATTTCTATTCATTAACTTTGCAAGTTCTCAAACTTCTGACAGACTGTGGATTTCTAGTTTTACGCATTGTTACGGACAATCATCCCTCTAATGTAGGACTGTTCAGAAATTTATGTGGAGGAACACTCAGATATTACATTGAGCATCCATTTCTTCCACCAATGCCTTTATTTCTTTCTTTTGATTTTTGTCATGCGATGAAAAATGCAAGAAACCTTTTTTTGCACCATAATATGAACTCCTCAGCTGGCATCATTTCTTCGTCCTATTTGAAATCCTTATATGGCCTACAAAAGGAATGGCCTGTGAAACCTGTCAGGTACCTTACCAAAAAACACCTATTTCCAACAAATCTGGAGAAGATGAATGTGTTGCGAGCTGTACAGGTTTTTTCACCGCCAGTTACTTCAGCGCTTAAATTATTAAAAGAAGATGGATATGATAATTTTATTGATGCTGATGGGACTATCTTATACATGGAAAACATGTATCATTTCTTTCAAGTGCACAATGTTTCAACTCGCAGACACTACATTCATGCCCTCGATAGCACTGTTGCACCATATGTGAACGTTTCGGACGAACGACTTCACTGGTTGAATGTGACTTTCCAACATTAAGTCAAGGATATTTAGTCTACTTCAAGCAGGACTGGTTATTCAGGCTTAAGCGACGAAACGGCACATGCTTTGTGTTTCACAGCAAAAAGCACATTTTTGTGCATTCAGTTTCTTCTTAAACAATCTGGATTTTATTATGTATTAACTAGATCATTCAGCTCGGACGCAGTTGAAGCAACATTTTCCCATATTCGCCTAAAAGGAGGCTCAAATGACACCACTGATGCTCGTGCTGCAGAATATGCTTTACGGCAAATTCTACGAAGTGGCATTTTAAAATCATCTTTATTTGCTAACACCGCAAGTACTGTTAGTCATGTATCTTTGAATCAACTGTCTCATCAGAGAAATCAAACAGCAGAGGACCAACTTGAGGAACTACTTCTGCCTGCAGATTTACGTTACAAAATTGATAGTTTAAAACGGAATCAAGTACCTGAAAGTAACCTCTACTCTGCATCCATAGCTTTCTTAGCTGGATATGTAATTCTTAAGCTGCAACAAAAAATTCGATGTGATAATTGTATTGCACCATTAGTATCAAGTACAATACCTGGACCTCTGCTAAAATTAATAACCCTTCAAGACCATGGTGGCTTAATACACCCAAGTGAACTATTTGTGGGACTTGTAAAGCAAATAGCCGATGTCATCCAAGAAATTTTACCACACTTAAGTTTTAACAAAACATGTGACCACCTGATTAAGCTCTTACAACCAAAATTACTAAAAAATCCATTACTACCTTGCGTTGAACACCAACAAGACCTCAGCGTGATCATTATACTAACAGTAGCAAAACTGGTCTTGTCGAATATACAAGGTGATTGCGAAATACATCCAAAAAAAAAATGGGGAATAGCTCACAATATGATTATGTCACTGGGTAAAATTCACGGTCCTAAGTAGTAGCAGTGTCTAGAAAAAATTATTTGAAATTAAATGTAAATTGTTGTACGCGCCGCTGGACTGTTTTGTGACCTACATAATTACTACAATGAATGGAACAGAGCGAGTCGGTTTAAGAACCAAAAAAGTTACTTTATCAGGCACTTTTTTAATCGCAACGTGAAAAACACGAAAAGGGTCAGTTAGCATCGAGCGGTCGGTGAAATCGGTTTATGGTGGAGTTTTCCCATGCAGATTGTGTCGATATGGTAATTGGTGCATCAGTGGTACAACATCTCCGAGATCATGGTACCTTCAACCTCAAACTCACGATCGTGGCCGTGATAGGACAGAAAGAAGAAGTTGGATTTTCACAGCTTGTAGTGCATCCTACATTAAAAGAATACGGCCACATCCATACCATGTTGACAAAGTACAGGGTTTGGAGCCCGCTGATTATCCACGTTGTGTAACTCACTTTTTGTCCGATGGAATTCCACATACTCGTCAACAAGTACGATTTCAAGAGACGGTTTTCGATAAATGTGTATCAGTTGGATGAAACAGTTCGTTTGTGGAAATCAACAGTGTCCAGAAATTATCGAAGAGCTTCAACAAGTGAAAGTGGCAGCCGCTACTCCGGTGTTTTTTTACCTATCAACAAACCTCTTGCGACGCTCTGACGCCTGTATTGCTAGTCAAGGACAACATTTTCAACATTTCGTGTAAAAAGGTAGTAGCATTCTAAGTTGCTCTTATTTCTGTTCCAATAAACAACGTAAAATCGTTGTGACAAGGACCAAACATCCGTCAGAATCAAAATTACCAAAAAACTTTCACACTGACCTTTAACGATGAATGAGTAAATGAATGAACGAATGATAAGCAGCAAAAAGTCGGTTTTACTTTTAATTGAAACTGAAAGTGTTTAGGTCGTTTTTATTCGAACGTTTTTCCAACTCTGTTTACAAGGTGGCTCAGTGCCTTCGTATCGAGGGTGGTTCATGGGGGTTTTGCCCCATTCGATTCTTAATTTGTTTTTTCGATATTTCGGCTCTACTAGGGTGGGGGATGCCGTGGTTAAAATATTTGCACTTATTTCGCAGTCACCCTGTATGTCTAGAAAAAACAGATTCTTTAAAAAGAAAAATAATAGACAACAAACCCCAAAGCAGGAAACTATTGAAGCTTTAATAAATGGTTTATTCTTATTATGGTATTATTTCTTGCTTGTTTTGAGTTTCTATTTAACACTGACATCAACCACTTCTGGCAGTGACACTTGGTCACATCACAGTGACAGTGACACTTGGTGTTTGGTGGCATATCAAAGTTGTTTAAAATCCCACAAGGTTGCTCCACTTTCGGTACGTTTGATAGGAACTTTAAAAAGCGCGAGTGACGAGGCCTTATACAGCGTTTAAGCAGTATGAATCTAGTTGGCCTTGTTAAAAAAAATCACATGGCGCCATCTCGTTGCTGTCGGTATTATAGATTCCTTCAGTAAACATCAAGTCCCGAAACTGTCACTTCATTTCTTGCCATTTCGGAAAATATTTTTAAAATGAAATATTTTTTAAAATAAACTCAATGTCGGGGAAAAAATTGAATACAATTTTCGTGCGTTAGGCATTTTGCAGGTTTCGGTCCCATGCCACCCTCCGCTTCGCGTCGGGTGGCAAATTAGGACTTCAACCTGCAAAATGTTACCTACCGCACTCATAATGTAAATAACTATATCTACGTGAAACCCAACAGGACGCTAGAAATAAAACTTGTTCGTCACTTTACTGAATTGTGGTGCAATTAATAATAAATATTTTAAAGATTTGCTTTCTTTTTTCTAAAATCGTATTACATTAAAGCAATATTTTTTTTCTATGTCTATTACCGAAACTACGATTTTCCCCATAGATTGCTTTGTCAGAAAGTGTAGGATTACATTGACGTTTCAGTGCATGCATGTAAAGTGCACGAAAGTACATTGCCAAGTTGACACATGCACTTTCGTGCACTTTACATACATGCATCCTCTGTTGATGCCGAATTAAGTGCGTGATCGTGGCTTTTGTTTTTTGTTTTATCTAGTATATCAACATACCTATCAATTAGATAAGGAGAAAAAGTCGTTTCGCTAGGAAGACGAATAAAATGCAGTTTTTTTGCGAATTCTATTGTCAACTTTACAATCCTCATAAATTATTTAAATACACAAAAGACATGAAAGATTGCTTTAGCATATTCATCTAAAAATGTGTCATGCATTTTTTTTATTTAGCGTAAAAAAATAATGAAGGTTATGAGGCAGAACTTCATTTAGTACAGTGGGTGTATTGCAGGCCTTTTTTCTTAATTCTTGAAATTTCTTCGAAACTCGGTGATTTTAACTGTCCTAGTTTTACGAGAAAGTAAGATTATCAGTTCTTCTTTGTAAAAAGATCTTGTCTGTCGATCACAAATATGTATATATATATACATATATATTTTTAATGAATCGACAGCAATAATAGCATTCATTCTATAACTATAAGATTCCATATATTTTTCGACTGTTCGTCAAAATTACAAGAAACCAAACATAGTCACCAGAAAATTTTGGAACTAAATAAAATGTCAAAGTTTGAATTTAAAAAGTTCAAAATATTTTAAGAGAAGAACCAAGAGAATTAAGCGAATAAAACTAGTAAGTAATGTTCCGATTTTCCGAAAGACGAATTCAAAATGACTATCTTAACAATACTAGAAGAGAAAACGTTGACGAATGTCCATACTTTGACATAGTATAAACAAGATAAGAACACAAGATATATAAAAAAAATGCAAATGTGGTCATTATGGTAGCAGGCAAATCATACTCGTATTAGCAAAGTATTTTGATTGTACGACAAAATTGCGAGGATGCAGTTAAAATATTGATGAATAAATTTAACGTTTGAATCAAGAAACTTGTGTTTATGAATTGTTAATACGGTGTTGTCTGAAGGACTCGGCATGAGTTTTTTTTTTTGACTTACTGGACTTCACACTGATAACCAGCCTGAGGTTATGTGACCGCTTGAGAGTAACTCACACGAGAATTCTGATTTTGATTTTATACCGTCTTTAGTGTTCAGTTGCGATTCTATATTTCAAAGTTCTATCGCTGCAATTAATTGAGACATTATTATAGGGAATCATCTAAATAGACTTTTCGAAGGTCGCACTTCGAAACGTGTTCGTGTTGTGGCAATAGCTCTCGCGACTGAGGTAAACGTAGTTTTGCTTATCCATTTGAGGGCAGACTCCAGTGGCCGACTATGGTTATGTTGTGCCATTGTAAGGGCTGCTGCTTTCGGAAGTATTTCGCCCAAGTGGACACGTACCCAACATTGTTACAATATGTGTATCTCTTGTAGACTTGTAACTAAAATATTTTTTCTCCTCTAGTTGATAAAAATGGCGACGTGTGTATATCGATTCTGCACGAACCTGGAGACGACAAATTCGGATACGAAAAAGCGTCAGAAAGGTGGCTGCCAGTACATACAGTAGAAACTATTTTAATATCGGTAATTTCAATGTTAGCTGATCCGAACGACGAATCACCAGCGAATGTCGATGCTGCAGTAAGTATTCGAGAAGCAATTTTCTTATTTTAATCACGTACTTTTATGACAGAAAGAATGGCGAGAGATGTACGGGGAGTTCAAACGAAAAGTAGCGCGGTGTGTCAGGAAGTCCCAAGAGGAATGTTAGTACATTAAACCAATTAATTAAAAAATAACCACCAATAAAACGGTTTGATTCTTGATTTTTTTAAAATTCGCATTTTTTCTGTTGTGTTTTTTTTTTGTACGTGTGCATTAACCTGGAGTCAAATCAGTTGGTTCTTTTCGAGATCTCACAGAGATTGGTTTTATTTTCCTTGAACAACTGTCAGGTTGCTTTTTTATTTGATGTTCTTTAAGTTATTGGTTAATTTTAAAGCATATTTCAGCGTGAATGTGGTATTGTAAGCGGAAAAATGATTCGTTTTTGTCTCTGAACGAACGTCAGATTCAAATGTTGTCTTAATTGTAATACTTAAGACATTTGTCGAAAATACACTACTTGTAATTGCTATTAGATTATGTAAATTTCAACTGTAACACTGTAGGTATCATAAGTTAAGTAAATTTTATTAATAAAAAGCATCATTATTATTAATCACAGAAACAGACTTATCCCGTTGGCGTTAACTTCGTATTTACAAACTGTTGTGCAATTTTACAGTGGACTTTTTTTAAATGTTAGTATGAAAGAAAGAAGAAAAAAGAAATGTGGACCAAGGGAACTTCGTCGGCAGCTCCATTTAAGTAAGTAAGTAAGTAAGTAAGTAAGTAAGTAAATTCAATTTACAATCTGTGTAAGTATGTATGTTACTCATATATTGGTTATTTTATTATATGGGTTATTCACAGGTATACACATATCTAGAGACGGACAGATGTGCACTACAGATAAAGCATATATGCATTTGCGTATGCCTTAAAAACCAGGCATAATATGCACTAATATATGCATTAAAAATTGGGCAACATATGCAAAATATATCCCTTATAAACCCAAAAATAAGTGTGTTCTCTTGAAATTGTATTATGCGTAGCCAACTTTAAATTTTGGCTTATCGCATGTTCGTATAATCACGAACGATACAAAATTTTGAACACATGTTATTAGCATCTGATTTCAACTTAGCACCTTCGAAGATACGTTAACGCATGATGAAAAACTGAACCGAGTCTCAACCTCCGTTATAACTGTTAATTTATGTGTGTAAAAAAGTGCAAAAATAAAAGGCCGACTATTAATTGACTTAGAGGGTAACAGGGTTTTATGTATATGTTACAGCTAATATCCGAAATCCGTTATTATGCATAATAACTAGACATTTTAGGAATTATGCGTAATAACTAAACTTGTCAGCTATTATGCATAATAACCGGAAAGATTAGGAATTCTGCGTAATAACTGAAATTTACACACCACGACACGACCTGTTGTCAACACAATTTTCTCATAATTGCCCGATTTTTGTGTGTGTGTGTTTTTTTTTATTTCTATCGTAATCCACAGTTAGTTGCGATATTTGTCGTGGGCTTGTTCATTCTGAATGTGCTGGATTATCCAAAACCGAAGTGGACTGCTTTCGCTGCATGTCACGTAAAATTCATTTTTACTGTGAAAAATGTGATATTGTAGCGACCATTAATGGTTTGAAAGAAGAATTGGCCAATGTTAAGTACGAGCTGAATTAATTAAAAAACAAGCAAAGTAAGGTGACTGATGACCACGATTCGAGTAAGAAATTATCGGAAGAAGGCATCATCAATGAAATTGAGGACAGACACCGGCGCGCTACCAATTTAACATTATTTAATTTACCAGAATCGAATGAAGCAAACTCAGATATGCATAGAGATGATGACAAATCTCGATGTCAAAAAATTATGATACTTGGGAGTCTGTGAAAATCCTGAACTGCGTTCGTCTAGGAAGATGACAAAATACGTCCTATTAAAATTATCTTTGGAAATTCTCATCGAGCCCTAGAAATCTTAAAGTCTTATAAACGTAAGGAGAACTTATATTTAAACAGGGATATTACTCCTCACCAGCAAAACCACAGCTTTTTCATTCGCTCTGAATTCAGAAACCGAATAGAGCATGGAGAAAACGATATTTCTTTAAAATATGGAGATGGTATTCCCAAAATTGTTAAAAAGGATTTAAAAAAAAGCTGTAATTATCCAACAGACCAACGATGCTATCCCATTTAACCTTACAATAAACTATCAAAATGTTCGAGGAATAAATACAAAAGTTAACTTATTTTACCCTAATGCTATTGCCGCTAGTTATAACATCATCGCCATCACTGAAACCTGGTTAAGCCAAGACGTTTTAAGTAGTGAGTATTTCAACTCTGGTTATAATGTATACAGATCTAATGGTAAAGGGAGAGGAAGACGAATATTGCTAGCTGTTAAATCCTCGTTTACATCAAAAACATTGCCTCTAACATCTCCAATTTCGGAAGTAGGTACGATCGGAACACAGATATTAGTAGCTTTCCTTTCAACCACGAAGTGAGTTGAGAAGTACTGAACTGAGTAAGTCGATTCACTATCAACTACTTCGTTTAAAAGGGAGTGAAAGAAATGACGTACAGTGAGAGTGGTTTTTCAGCTCCGAACTTACTCATATATACGGCCGTGCTCATGACTTACTCTGTCTTGTTTTTGTTGACAGTTGACACATCTGTTGATTGTTATTTGTAAGGTTATGTTTGGAGAAGTTTTGAGTAAAATGGATAACTCTGTAATGTACGTATTTACATAAACAATTTATATTAAATGATAATAAAAACGAACTCGAAACACGTGTTAAACGAAAATACTACCAACCGTTTCTACCGCCCGCCAAAAGTGTGGATGGATAACTTTCTTTTTTAAATTTTCGTGATTGGCTGATTTCACCTCCCACTCCTGAAGTGAGCCAATTTCATTTAACTATCGGCCCCGGCAAGGTAGTGCTGCAAGGGAAGAGGGGGAGGTACAAAATCTCACTTAAGTGAGGTGAGTCAAACTAAAAGGAACATGGCATTTATTTGAGTCGTACTGAACTGATCTGAAATATCTGAGATTCCGTACGAAAGGAAAGCACCTATTGTTCAGTTTACCTGAACAGGGGTTTGGGCGTAGCCAATTTGTCCACCCTACTCCCACCCGTTTTAGGGTAGTTTAACTATTTTTATTATTTCACTCTCTCGGGGAGTCGTCGAGAAGTATCGAGAGGGTAAAGACGTGCCGACCCGAGAGACCGGCATTTTATAATTTTTGTACGTTATTAAATAAACCGTGTAACTAAAAGGTGATTTTATTTCGCGCAAAACATTTTGGTCCTTCGAGCCGGATTTCTCGCGGAATTAGTGGTACTGTTCTCTCCTGTATCGTCGATAAAAGCTTCACGTCCAAGACAATCTTGAGCATCGTGACATTCGACGACGATAGCATCCCCAGAACTTCTGCAACAGCTTCACGTTCAAGGCAATCTTGAGCATCGTGACATCCGACGACGACATCCACAAAGCGTAGACGACTTCTTCAGCAGCTTCACGTCCAAGGCAATCTTGAGCATCGTGACATCTGACGACGACACATCGCCAGACTGTAGAGGACTTCTTCAGCAGCTTCACGTCCAAGACGACTTCGCTAGCAGCTTCACGTCCAAGACAATCTTGAGCATCGTGACATTCGACGACGACAGAATCCCCAGAACTTCTGCAACAGCTTCACGTTCAAGGCAATCTTGAGCATCGTGACATCCGACGACGACATCCACAAAGCGTAGACGACTTCTTCAGCAGCTTCACGTCCAAGGCAATCTTGAGCATCGTGACATCTGACGACGACACATCGCCAGACTGTAGAGGACTTCTTCAGCAGCTTCACGTCCAAGACGACTTCGCTAGCAGCTTCACGTCCAAGGCAATCTTGAGCATCGTGACATCTGACGACAACAGCATCGCCAGACCGTAGACGACTTCTTCGGCAGCTTCACGTCCAAGGCAATCTTGAGCATCGTGACATCTGACGACAACAGCATCGCCAGACCGTAGACGACTTCTTCGGCAGTTTCACGTCCAAGACAATCTTGAGCATCGTGACATCTGATGACAACAGCATCGCCAGACCGTAGACGACTTTTTCGGCAGCTTCACGTCCAGGGCAATCTTGAGCATCGTGACATCTGACGACAACCAGTAAGTGCAGTTCATTCCTTTTTTCATTAGTCCTTTATTTCGTATCAGTGTCAAGTAGATTATCGTTGAATCGTTAGTGAACAATGACTACTGAAAAACTTTCTGGTTTAAATATTAAGCGGGGAGCGCTAAAACGCAAATTAACCATGGCTAAAAACGTAATAAACGATTTAAAGTCATCTAAACAAAGTACAGCTTGTTTGTCAGAAGTACAAGAACGTTTGACTAGAATCAGGTCAATTTATGACGAATTTTTCGACATTCAAAGTCAAATTGAGGAATTGGAAATTGTTTTAAAACAAACATCTACCGCAGATCAATGTATCACTTTTGACAAGAAATTTCATATCGTTGTATGCGAATTAAAAGCATTGGAAGCCAAATATTCAGCCAAATCTGCAAAAAAATATGATATTCCTATCGTTCAAAATAGCGCTGTTAATGTAAAACTGCCAGAATTAACGTTTAGAGTAGCAGCAATATCAACAAATAAAAACGAGAAAGCAAATTTTAATACCAATTCAAACAGATCGGTAATGTGCCCATATTGTTCCGATCTTCATAATTTATTTTGTTGTGCAAAATTCATTAACCTAATGGTTACAGATGGGTTAACGATCGTGAGGTCCAAAAAACTATTTAATATGCAAAATAGAAACTATTTCCATGAAGATTTTCGTATTACGAACAAGTAGATACGTCGCACAAGTCTTCAAGTGCTATAGTAAGGATGATATTGGAAGTGGCGTTTTGCCGTATTTCGGCAGATTTTAATGACTGTAAGGAGGAGCCTTAAGGCAAATTCTCAACAAGTTTATTTAAGTAAAGTACTTCCAACAGCCCAGGTACAAATTTATGATAAATCGGGAAATAAACATCAAGTGCGGCCACTGTTAGATAGCGGCTCCGAATGAAATTTTATTTCAGAGCGAATGTCAAAATTATTAATCTTAAATCACAACCGATCGTTTTATCAATCGCTGGTATCAGTCGTTGTAATACTAGTGCCTCACAATTAGCAAGTATCAAAATTCATTTTAATTACCGACATTATGATTTTTCATGTGTTATTTTGCCACAAATCTCGGAATTTTTACCATCCACGTTATTTTCAATCGCTAATTTAGAATTTCCGCACCACAACAAATCAGCAGATCCCGCATTTCATGTCAAAGGGACGATAGATTTATAAATTCGGTTGGGTAGTGGTTAATGCTCATGGAGATAATCCGGGGGTTATAAAACAGGGTTCTTGTTATTATGTCCAACCCGTCCTAGAACAGATGGTTGGAAAGTTTTGGCAATTAGACGAATTTAAAACTTCCGTAAAACCTCAATCGGCCGACGAAATCCTATGCGAAAAGAAATTTATGGAGGGTCATAAAC